GATGACGGAGGCAGTATGACCTCTGAAACACTGGTTAACATCGACCAGACTACACAGCGCAACAACCCAGAAGGCAGAAATCTTCATACTCACTGCTGTGAAAACCTCAAATCTTACATTACTGAATGCATTTGCCACAAAACTAGTCTTAATGTTAAGTTAGTTATTTGTCTTTCAGAACATGCAAGATTGAGTTAGTTTGGGTTGCATTAGTTTGAAAACCTATTATGTTTCAGTTGCAGTGATTATTTTAGAGGTTGAGATGTCCACAGATGATTTTACAATATTCAGTAATTTACAGTTTATTATTATAATTTGTTCTTGTTTCACAGTTCATTAGCAGATGGCAGTGCTTTGTAATGTTCTTGTATAAATTATTTAATGAAATATCTGCATAGTTACTAAGCTTCACCTTAAGAGGCCTAGATTTAGACACACTTTTATATTTCAACAGTGTGAATTTGGTGACAGATTATATTAGTTTACTTCACTTTAGTTTAGTTGTTGAATACATTGAGTCAATTAATATGGGCTAGTCACATAAAAGATTGGAAGGTAAAGTGGGTAATACTGTTAAATTAGAGAGGAAGGAGACCATTTGTAAAGCCCTGAACCATTGGCTGAGTTGAAAGAGAATGTATGAAACAGGGGCAATGGAAGCTGTTGATATTAAATTGTAGGAAATATCACTGAAAGTTCTTTTCAGTAACTGATTACTGAAAATCATTTTATTGAAAATCTTATTAAGTTCTGTGATTATGTGGTGTAAATAGAAGTGTTGTTAACATCACTTATGCTAGATTATATTTATGACATGGTAAATTGTGAAAGTAAATTAGAATAATGATGAACAGAAGTGTTAAAGAACAAATTGCAGAAACAATAAAGCATGTAGAAAAATTTACCAATTGCTGAAGGAAATGGGAAATACATAAAAGCAGAAAATATGCATATTTAAAATTTACTACATGCTCATATTATTGTATGGAATAGAAACTTGGGCACAGATCAGAGCAGATATTAGCAGGCTATGAGCAGCAGAACTTATATTTGCAAGCAGTATAGGAGAAACTGAAAGTGGGAAAATAAGAAGCAAAAAAGAATTAGATTTAGAATTACCTTAGAAGGCAACTTGACTAGTAACAGATTGAGATGGTGTATAGACATGGTTTAAGAATGAGCAAAGAGAGAATCCCAAAGTAAGTTTTGAACATTAAAGTTAAAGGAGACTTAGATCAAGGTGGGCACAACAGACTGGGAAAGATGTCACATAGAAGTAATGAAGGACATGGGAAGAAATTGAAGAGGCAGTGCTGTAGTAAGATTTGAATTAGATGGACATACCTGATTGCTAGATATCCACTTAAATTGGGAACATCTCAGATAGAAGAAGAGGTGGCATGTCAATTAAAAATAATATTACTGTTTTGCTTGATATTTCAGACAGCACGACGAGTCCAAAATATTGTCCCAGTTACAGTACGTCAGATCCTGGAAAGTCATGATGATGGTCTCAAAATTGGAAGTATGGATATACATATGGTGAGAGAACTAATCAAAGATGAAATGACAATTGTACAATCTTAAAAACCCTTCTGATACTAAACATACAAAATGAATGAGGCTTCATGCTTATATTTGTCTCATGCAAAGAATTTCTTTCTTTATGGATTTAGAAATACCAGGTTCAATGTTTGTAAGGATGACTCGTGTCTGTAGAATTAGAATTTAATTACGTTTGGTAGATACTTCATAGTACAAGCCAAGGTTATGGATCATGTCATAATATGAATATGAACACTTAGAACAATAACAAAAATACCAGAACAAGGTTATAACTGCAGTTTACATAAATTTTTACCAAATTTAATAATTTTCAATTGAAGTAAATTCTTCCGGAGAGCAGCAGAAGTGAGATGAAAGATAATCTTTCATTGCTATCTTAAATACTTTTATATCATAATTTAAACTTTTAATGCTATCTGGAAGAGTGTTGAATAATTTAATCCCGGTATAGCGGGCCTGCCCAGCCTTTTTTGCTGTGCGGGCAACTTTAGCAAAATTTGGTTTGTATGCAGGCAGCATGTAGTTTGATACATAAAATATGGACTATGTATGTATAATGATACTGCATATTTTTCTATACATTTCTAAAATAAAAATATACTGATAATGTGAATTTTTTAAAAAAATTCAGTTCACAACCTAGGCTAGGGTGTGTATTTTTAGCACATTTTTACAAAATTAATTAGTAATGTAATATGTCTCCATAAATAAAAAGCTCATAACCTTTTTAAAATATTATTGCATAGATTTTAACTTGGGTGTGATCTTTTGCACAATAAGACCCATTGTAAGACTAGCAATGAAAATATCAGAAAGAAGCTGCTGCTCGTCATTAACTAGAAAACATCCCTGTAACAATATACGTTGGCAGTCGTCGACAAATTTATTTTAATCCCAGCAAAGAACAACCGTTAGCAATAAGGATTTATGATAGGGTCACTTGGGAATATGGAATTTGTGGTAAATTTTCTTTCGTAGTTTGTCAGGAAATGGGTGGAATTTCTTCGGCATTTTATTTCACTGTTGCCAGGGATAGCTTTAAAAGATGTTTTCTTATTTCAAATGTCTCCGCAGGCAATATGTTGCCCTTGAGCTACAGGTTGGGTGGGCCTGCTGTATAGTTAGTTATGTCTTTATAAACCCAGAGGAAAATTTATCTGTGGTTACATAAATATGGATTTTCTTACTGAAAGTCACCACAAGCAATACCTAGTTTCCCTACTAACTGTTGTTACTTGTATGAGTCACATTTGTCTGAATATTTTTGTATGCATTTGCCGTCTCAGTGGCCGCACGGTCTGAGGTGTAGGCCTTGTGCCGCTTGTTCACTGGGATTGTGGGTTTGAATCCCACTCAAGGCATGGATGTTTGTCTGCATTTTTCTGTGTTGTGTTGTCTTGTGTACAGGTAGAGGCTGATCCCTCCTCCAAGGAGTCCTATCAAAAATGTCAGTAGATCAAAGCCAACGAAAAGTTGGGACCCACAGTGCTCAAGCACTTGAAGAACAGGTCGTCAGAGTATCAAGTTGTATACATTTATAAGAGTTGTGAGCAACTACAAAACACTACAAAGTTTTTACTGAGAAAATTCAGAGTTCTCTGATCACTAAACCATGGATAGAAATTTCTATTTACCTGTGTTAAATCAACATGCCTACCTCTTCCTCCTTATGCTGTTGGTAAGGATGTGTGGGTTATCTTAGTCTTGCGGGCTATGTATATGAATGACTTTAAGTCTCCATTTTGTTTTTCACAATTCACAAGTGCTCTCAGCGGCAATGTGAAGAATTTCAACAAATAAACAAAACTTCAGGTTACGCTCTACAGATTTCTGCTGATATCAGCGCATTTTGGCTGCAGGTAACACAGTTACAGTTCTCCAAACGTGTGCAGCTACTTTTGACTTACCCTGTATAGTGTTTTAACTTGTTTTATAAGCAGTATTTATGTAAGGTATTCATTGTGAAGAAAATATTGTTTTGGTGTTATATAACTGCAATGGAAAAGTTTCATCCAATAGACTATGTGCTGGATGACAACTGAATCTGGGCCTTAATGGAACTCGATCTTAAACAAGCTCCCAAGAAATTGTTATACCACTAAGCAATGCATTGTGGTGCATCAGAAAAATCCATGGACACCAGAAACCCAGACCTGTTCATTATGTTTCTGTAGTGCCAAATCTGCCTTCTGAAGAAATAATCCTGTTTTGCAGGTGGTACTTTCTTTAGTGACTATGTGAAGAATCAAACAGTCCTACTGGAGTGTTGAAAATCACCTACATCTCATAAAGTCATGCAAAGAGTTTTGTTATGTATTTAGCAATATTGTCTGAAGATGCTTATGATTGGAATGTTAACAATTTGATACCACTGCACACAAAATTTTGTAATTTCTATTGAGCTTGCAATGAACAGAACATTCTTTAGTATTGCAGAGGAAGAAAAGTTGACATAACAGCCAATAGCAGAGATTATTCTTTCAGTTGAATGGCAGTTAATATTAATATTTGGGTAATTTCAGTTTAGTCTTGTTGCCTTGGTTCGACGTGTTGAAGTAACTTCAACTAAGGTAACTTATCTATTAGATGACTGCACAGGTGGCATCACTGGAGTCTTCTGGCTGGAGTCTACAGATGGGGTAAGTTTTGTGTATTGTCCATTTTTACTTCAGTCCTAACCAGTTAGTATCCTTCTGCATTACATTAAGGCCACTGGTGCTCTAGCATGCATTTATTTTGTTCCCACCCAGTACAGGACTATCTGTTTAATTTAGAAGTCCTTCAAAGAATAAGCCTACACTTTTTCTGGTGACTTGGTTGCAAGAAATACAATATTAATATAATATACCAATTTATGTAGTAATTTACTTCTGTCAGTAATAGTTTAGTCAATCTTGGGTAGGGAATGGTTGCCTTCCATACCCAAATCCACATCAAAACATGATTCTTTGTTGCTGCTTCTTTCTGCATGACATGCTAATAACAAGCTCCTTCTTCTTCTCTTTTACTACAGCCCTTGGTGGGCTCTGTTATCCCGAACAATGTCCCCATCTCTTCCTATCCTGAGCTACATTCTTCCAATTGCACACTTTCATCTTTCTCATATCTTCCTCTATCGCATCAATCCACCTTCTCCTTGGTCTTCCTTTAGGTCTTGTTCCCCACAATTTCTGGATAAATCCCAAATGTGACAGTCTATCCTCTCCCATTCTGACCACATGTCCCGCCCATCTTAACCGTTGTGATTTAATATATCTCACAACATGCTCATGATGGATCAATTCTTCTAACTCCGCATTATATCTAATTCTATACGATCCGTCATTGTTCTTTAGGGGGCCAAAAAATTTTCGTAGAATTTTTCTTTCAAAGCACATTAACTTGACTAATAACAAGCTATCAACCATGTTATCATTGATCCCACTAAGCTCCCACATCCTTCCTATCACCTTAATGATGTGTGCAGTATAATTTGGGACAATGCAAAACTGGGCAAGGCAAAACATGTCATGAAGTTTCAATGTTTTGTTTCTTGCACTGTATGTAATCCTTTCCTGACTCCACACCAACTGTCAGGTTCATGTTGCAGTAAGATAGTGGAAGTTTTGCAACCACATGATCAGTTTTGTTGACAAGATTATCAATAATGTATAGCATCTATCTTGAAGACCTAGAAATCAACTGCTTGTTTGTTTGAAGACTAATTTGTGCATGCATAGCATTACTCAAAAATTATCAGTGTAATTGTTAGTAACGTCATATTTATAATGGTGCTGAATCCTTCCTGAGAAGCCAACAGTCGCTCAGTCACTCAGGAAGTTCCCTACATTTTATGGAACCCAAAGGTTCATTACCAAGTTCATGAGAGCCTGCCACTGATCCCTATCCTGAGCCCAATGAATCCAGTCTATACCAACCCATCTATTTCTCTAAGATCCATTTTAATATTATCCTCTCACCTACATCTGTATTCCTAGTGGTCTCTTCCTTCTGGTTTGCCCACCAAAACACTATATTCATTCCTCTTCTCTCCCATGCAGGCTACAAGCCCTGCCCATCTCATTCTCCTTGACTTGATCTGTCTAGTTATATTTGGAGATGAATACAACTTATGAAGCTCGTGATTATGCAACTTTTTCCAGCACCCTAGTAATTCATCCCTCTTAGTTCCAAATATTCTCAGCACCATGTTCTCAAACACCTTCAATGAGAGCATTGCACAATACAGACATCCTATCTAACTGAATCATACACTTTCTTGAAGTCTATATAAATAGCTAATGTACAGTCTCGCTCAGTCAGTATAGTGACTAGCTACGGGCTGGGCGACCGGGGTTCGATCCCCGACGGGGGCAGAGGATTTTTCCTCTAGCCTCTGCGTCCAGACCGGCTCTGGGGCCCACCCAGCCTCCTCTACAATGGGTACCGGGGTCCTTTCCCGGGGGTAAAGCCGGCCGGGGCGTGATGCTGACCACTCACCCCCATCTAGTGCCGGGGTCAAGGAAGAGAGGAGCTATACCTCCACTCACCCCAAACGCCTACATGGCGTATAGTGGGACAAACTTTACTTTACTTTTTACAGTCTCATTGTACTCCCATTTCTTCTCTAGTATCTGACAAATACAGAGAATCTCATCAGTAGTTGACCTATTATGTCAAAACCCACACTGATGATTTACAATAATTTAATTTACAACTGGACTTAACGTTGAGAGAAGGATGTTGGAACAAATTTTTCAATTCATTTTATGAAGTTGATAACTGATATGTCCCAATAATTACTACAGACAGTTTTATTGCCCTTCTTGTAATTTGGTATAGCAATAGACTCCTTCCACTGCTGAGGCAATTCTTCCTTATTCCTAATAGAATTAAGGAGTTTATGGATCTCAGAATGTAATGTTTCACCTCCTTGAATCAGTTCTGCTGGAATTTGATCACTATCTGGCGATTTATACCATTTCCAGTTTGCAATAGCAATTTCTGTCTCAAAAGGACTAGGCTCAGATACTAATGGCTCAGCTGTATGTCTGCCTAACATCACTAATCCTATGAACATTAAATAGCTGAGAGAAGTAATTCTTCCATCAATTCAAAATGTTGTGGAAATCTGCAACCAGATCACCATTCTCATCCTTTATCAAGTTACTTCAAGGTTGGTAACCCTTCTTAAATTCATTTATACCTCTGTATAAGTCTCTAATGTTCTTGTTCTTACTGTGTTGCGAGCTCATTAATTGTCCTGATATTCCCTCATTTTATTCCTGAAATGTCTACTAGCTTCACATCATATATTGTTCATATGAGCATGTTATGATTATACTTCATTCAGATCTTCAAAACATTCCAAGATATGGATACTCAAAATGGGTAGTTTCTTTAACGTTTTGTATAGCCTGGCAGGTAGTGAAAGTACCAGCCACATGCATTTATTTATACCAGGATTGAAACAATAATGAACACACTGGATGAAGTATATTGCATCTGAGTGTGAAATATAATGAAAATAACTACATAGTGCTTTTCCCTCAATTTTAGGAAGAGCAGCAGGCAATTCCAATTGTGGTTGAAAACACGTACTGTCATGCGTATGGCTCTGTGAGAACAAATCAAGGGAAGAAACACATTTTTTTGTTCAGAATCGTGAATCTTAGCAACTTGAATGACCTAACAAAACACATCCTGGAGGTGATGTACAGCAATTTAAAAATTGAGAAAATAGAAACTTCTGAGATTACTATGGTAAGTCAGATATAATCTTTGACAAGTTTGCTGTTTGTAATTATAGTTCTTTTATATGATTAACCACAAATGTAAATGTATTTAAACAGATGGTAGCCATGTGCAAGCATGAGGAGATTATTAATCACACTGGCCAATAAAAGCTAACTTTGTGTGAACACCCAAGTAAAATTAAGTCATCAAAGAAGAAACAATTTTTTCACAACCATAAAAATACTAATCAGAAATCTCATTGAAGAAACTGTGACTTGCATATAATAAGATATTAAATACAGTGTACAAAATAGAATCATTATTTTAAACCTCTGTTCATATATCTTATTTCAGAAATCGTGCACAGACAGCAATACTGGTTTGACAAATTCATTTGTGTCAACTTCAGTTTCTGCTCAAGCAGTTGGTTTCAGTCCTCAGCAGAATTTTGTGTACACCATAATATCAGTAAGTATTTTCTTGGAGGGTAATGGTTATATGCACAATACCATAATTTGTGAAGAATGACTATCAGATTGTTGCTTATCTCAAACATTTTAACTTTTTGGTAAAAATGCATCATTTCATAGTGTAGTATTGTCTACTATATTTTATTATCAACTAAGTACCCTTTATACACTCTACCACATGCACTCTTTTCCTAAAATTCTTTTGAAAATTAAATGTGTATCATATTGAAAGTTTTTGATTTAAGCAGCACCTAGTGTTACTTGAACCTACAAGGCAGCAGTAGACTTGGCATACTACAGTAAACTTATAGTAGTACTAGCCAGATTATTATACTTTATTTTTAGTATTCATTCAAATAATAAATTAACATTTCATGTTCATGTTTTGGCACCTTCAGATTGGTAGCAATATATCCATGGTTACCTTGGCTATGGCTTCAAGTTCTTGGCCTTTCAAAATTGCTTAATGTTATCACAGAAGACATTGTCTCTACTACAAGTTCTTTGACATATGGCATAAACATGCTACTAATTTCTTGGATTTTTGCAACTTCTGTGCTGTATATTTGCTTGTAGTATTTCTTTTCCAAACTCAGGTTCATACTTCTGTAGGTCTGTCAAACTTGGTGTCTGTGCGAATGGAAAATATTTTAATTCTAAACTAAAATCCTTTTCATATACATATATTGCACTTTTGCATGCATTCACCAAACACCTCCCTCTGGCTCAAAATAACATATTTAGTAGTGTATGTGTAGAGGTGCTGTCATCTTTTCGCTTCTTCATACTGCATGTAAATGAGAGATACACTCACTTAGTGACATGAAAGAAAGAAAAACTGATATGGGCTATAGTTTGGGCACTTAGAATAATTCTACTCTACACTCCTTGCTTTCAGTATCATAGTGAATATTAAATATGAAGATATCCGTCTTCTGGGTTATTGAGCTGTGTAGTCTGGTAGATGTTAACCAACGTTTCAGAGGTCATACTGCCTCCGTCATCGGGGCGATGACGGAGGCAGTATGACCTCTGAAACGTTGGTTAACATCGACCAGACTACACAGCGCAATAACCCAGAAGACAGATATCTTCATACTCACCGCTGTGAGAACCTCAAGTCTTACAATATTAAATATGATTGATTTAATTATTTATAAAAAATTTTAAACAGAAATGTAGCAGAGACATTGGAACACACAAGGATGAGGTTATTAATGCACTGGCTTCGAAGATGTCTTCAAAAGAAGTAATGTAAGTACACATGAAGATTTATATCTTTTGCTCACAAACAGTAGCTCTTTAAATAAACTGGATGTGGTAAGGCAAGTTTTTGGAGTTTCTAACCCTTCCACTGCTTACCTCATTGCTCACCAGCATGCAGCATTATGGAATTGAACTTTTAGGTCAATTAAAGTACTTCCAATACAGTACAGTGGACAGAACATAACTCTGAGCCTGGATGACTGTTACAAATACACATGTGGGAGGGAAAGACCGCAAAGTGATAGCACATACGGAGAGATAACACAGTCCTTGTATACTACTGAACATGAAATTATGAAGTTTGGACTGTAGAAGTATATCACATGCTCGTCACGGCCTCTGCCTGCATCACTTGTTTTTTAGTTCCTTTTATTCACAAAGAACAATGAAATATAAGTATTGTATGAAAATGACACTGATCGTGTTGAAATTTAAAGGGGGCATAACATGTTTTCAGTTACACTAAACATGCTCAGACTGGCTGTCTGCCATCTTACTCCCCCTGTTATTTCCCTCTTTCAGTGATGTAGCTGAATCTGTTATGTTGCAGCCACTGTAACCAAATAAGTTTTTGAAATAGGCTGCTAATATCAAGATTATTTTTGTTTAATGGCAATATCTTTAACTTACAGGAAAGTTATAGAATTCCTAAGCAATGAAGGTCACATCTACACAACCATTGATGATGATCACTTCCGCTGCACAGATAACTGACATGTTTAAAGGTCCAGAAGGAGAGTGTGGAACATTTCTACAGAAAATGCAGTTTCTATACATCAACTTTAATTCTACCAGAATTTTGGCAGCTGTTACCTGTGTGGAATATACTTTGGAGAACTGCTCATGAATGATCCAATGATATGTTGAACTGATAATGTGGGCAGTAGTATTAAACAGGCCATTACAAGCTTATGAAGATCATTGTAATAAAATGTACATGTTGGATTTTGGGTAAGATAGGATCAAGCACCAAAGGGTATAAAGATATTTATTGTAACATCAGTAATCAAATAACTGCAGACCCTACAGTGGTATGTGCTTCATTCTATCTACTAATTTTTACAGTATAGACATTACCCTGTTGATGTTATATCTTTCGGGTTGTTACAACTTGGGATACTAACAAACATACTTCCTTGAGAACCTCAAATCTCAGACACCACCTTCTTGGCAATTTGCTTTCTCTGCACCCATTTACTCATATTATCCCCTTAAGAACCTGTTGCTGATTCAGATACTATACTTCCATATCACAGCAGTCTTTTCTACTGGCAATCGGAGATCATAAAGTTACAAAAGGATTTTCAGCTGTCTGATGGAGACGTGTAGAACGAAACATTTTTCTTGAATGTTGCTTCCTTCAAACCATACTTTGAGATAGTGTAGATTTATAATAAAGATACGGGTTATGCAAGTCTCACACAGGCAAGGTGAACTTTATTATGTTGAGTTTGTATTATCATTTTTTAAATTAAGGTTGAGGTGGGTTTGATGCATGATACACAGGAAGGATGAAATGAAAGTGGATCATAAGGCAATAGATTGTAAAGAATTCTTTGTTCAGAAAAGAGTCCAATTGTGGGTTTTTAGTAGGAAGAACAGCTTAATAACTACTGACTGTTCAAGCAAGAACAGCAACTTTATTGTTCTTCATTTGTCAATTATTTTGCTTACAGGAGTTTGAACAAACTTAGTCCAGTGTTGTTCTATTATTTAATAGTTCTCGTTAAAATAAAAACTACAAACAGCATAGGATGTCTGATATATTTAAAAATAATGGTGAATGAGGGTATTTGCCTCCTTACATCCCAGGTACCTGCCATTATGCAATCACTTGGAAGTTATATCTTCGAAAAATTTATGGCTGTCAGCCTCCTTTTGACTTAGGTGGTGGCCGATACACACCAACCACAACAGCATGGTCTCGCTCATATGGCTCCAAAGTTATCTGCTCTTGAGGCTTCAGTTTGTCTGCCTGCAGTTTCTTTACTTCTGATGCAAACACAGCTTCAGGCTGAGCTGTGGAATCTATGCAACTGGCCTGAAAATGAAATTTCATTGTACAGTACTGTACACTAAAAGGATACTTGTTTGTTCTAAACTCACAACAGTGTTCATCACTAAAGTTCACATTTATATGTCCAGATATAAGGGAAAGGTATTGTCCATAACAAATGCAAATGTATTATGATCAATATAACAATAAAATTCTGTATCCAGAAAAATTACATTCTGAAAATGGATTTCTGCTTTCATCAGGTAAAAGAAGTGGAAAAGAACAGAATACCTATCTGTTGGACTATGTTGTTGAGCTAGCCTCAGACATGGACAACAACAACTTTGAAAAGTCTGATAAAAGATCTACAGATGACAATCATCTGCAGGAGATAACTCATAATTGCAAATAAGAAACAGTCTACAAGTATTAGACCCACTCTCTGAAGTCATCAAGTATTACTTATTTCAAGAAAATGGCTGGCTTCTGGGTTGTTGCGCCGTGTAGACTGATAGAAGTTTATCGACGTTTCAGAGGTCATACTGCCTCCGTCATCAGGGCGATTCTTTCTAAGTTATCTACGCTATGAAGATTTCTGTCTTCTGGGTTGTTGCGCCGTGTAGACTGATAGAAGTTTATCGACGTTTCAGAGGTCATACTGCCTCCGTCATCAGGGCGATTCTTTCTAAGTTATCTACGCTATGAAGATTTCTGTCTTCTGGGTTGTTGCACTGTGTAGTCTGGTAGAAATTTATTGACGTTTCAGACCATCAGGATGATGGAGGCAGCAAGAACTTCTGAAACTTCTACCAGACTACATGGTGCAACTATCCAGAAGACAGCCATCTTCAGACTCTGCCATAAAAACCTCAAATCTTCCTCCTTTCAAGCATTTGCCATGGAAATATAGTGCTGTGCATTAACCAACAAAGACCCAGTTGCTGGTTTGACTACATAACCTTTGTAAAAACATCATAATGGAGTAGTCACTCAGAAATAAAGGTATGAAAAAAGGCAAAGAATGAAGAAACAAAGAACACTTGCTGTGGTATGAAGTAATAAAGAGTGATTTTTTCAAGTACGAGTGTACAACAGTTGTATAGGACTGCATACATTAACTCTGAAAATTAAGTTCAAAAATTCAGATTCTTGAATTAGGCTACATAAGGTTAACATTTTAACAGCATGTACACACATAACACTAATATGAAACATTTCTTCTCGACTCACTTCATAAATATGGCCAATAATATGCAGTGTCTGCTGACTTTAAAATTTCAATGCCTTATTTCTGACACCATTCCCAGTCAGAAATGTCATATAAACATAGGTTCAATTCTCAAAGGTTACAGAGTTATGGATATGTGAAATTCAGGATTCACATTCATCCTACACATAATTTTAATTGACTGTATCTTAATTGTATTCTGTTTAATTTCTTCCTATGTGGGTCTATTCTGGCAAGCATTAATGACTCACATGTGGGTGGTTCATACAAGGGATGCTGAAGGGGAGACATCTAAAGACAAACAGCATATATTACAGTGGCTGATCCAGAAATTCTAAGAAATCAGGAAGCAGGAAAAAAGGCTTGAGGAGAGAATGTTTCAACATAGCTCAGAGAACAGGGACAAAATAGATGTGACTGAAGTTCACATTAAGAACTGCCATCTTTGTATAAACCAAAAGCAACTGAATTTCATAACCACTGAAGTATAAAAGGTACAACATTACAGTTTATATTGCATATACTGTGACTGGTAAGTAGGGAAGGGAGACACGTCGTAAGTGGGTATGCATCATTTATAGAAAAGGAAGTCATGCTGCATGTACTGTGATGTTAACACTGTTCAGAACCCACAGATTCCAGGTACAGACAGCCTGGGTTGTGTGTTTCATTAGTGCATATACTGTACATATTGCATTACACAGATTTGATCCAGGTATGTATTATCTGATCATGTAGTATATTGAAGATTTCCGTCTTCTGGGTTATATTATGATAACCCCAAAAAAACAATTTATGATGAGAGGAAAATGTTATGAAAAAATGCAGAGTTGTTATTACTACTCAAAGCAAAAAATCGAGCAGCTGCACCTTGGAACATCTTGCTCTACAATCAAGAACATAAGGCAAGAAAAGAGAACGAAGGAAAACTCATCCACGTAGCCATCTGGCATCTCCAGGTACGAAAATATAATTTATTGTGATGCATTGTGTGTGGATGGTTTTGACAAATGTGTGCTTAAGAACAACATACATTTTTATTTTCAAGAAAAGAGTTCCAACCATCCTGAATTCAGTATTTAGGGGGAAAAAATACATTTTCATTAGGGTCCAAGTCTTTTGGCAGAGTTGTATAAAGAATAGGATTTAAGAAGAGGAAATACCTGTCAAAATGCAAAATTCTGATTGAGAGGGTGGATACTGTTGAATGGATATCAAAGTATCTTGTTAAAATGAAGAAATATTGGGAACTGGGACACACTGTAGCTCATCAGTTATGACATTTAGAAAGGGATGATATTAGTTACCCAGGCAAATGTAAACTTGAGAAACATACATCATGATCCATGTAGGAGGCATTGGTTTTTTTACCTAAAATGTACAAGTTCTATACAAGACTAGAAGTGCAAGTGATCATCATGACCAAATGAACAGTGCAAATTTTGAGAAATGGATAGTTGAAAAACTTGTTCACAACCTTCCACTTCATGCAGTAATTGTTTTAGATAACACACCTATCACTGCATCCAGGATGAAAAACCACTCTAAGCCTGTGTACTCAAAAGCAACATTATTTTGTAGTTACATAGCAAAGGTGATGACTGCAATGTGATCAAGTGCAAACAAGGCCTTTATAAACTCACTGTTCCATTAAAGCCCAAAGAGAAGGCTTTCAAGATTGACAGCATCTTGTCAGACTATAGGCATATACCTGCTTGACTGCCTCCTTATGGGGTGACATAAATCCAAAAGAACTTACATAGGCTGGAGAAAAAAAAGAAGAATAATGGAACAATGTGGCAGCATTATCTTCAGCCTCAGTGAAGGCAGCACTTATTCTGTTGTGAAGATTCAGACTGAAGAGGTTTTAAATCCACCAGAAAATGAGATGGTAAATGTGATTTGCAACAATATTAATCATACTGGCAAAAGACGTCTGCTAAAAAAAATCTTTTAGATGTACGAGGTGTGATCGGAAAGTTTAAAGACTGTGTCAATAGAGGGCGAACCGGATGTAGTACGAGCTTCTGCCACTAGGGGGTGCGGCCTACATTCATAGTGAATCAGTGTGCCAGCCGGCATCATCGAATTAGCATTTGTTTCTTAGTTACGGGCGTTTTGGTAGTGCATTACACCGACCCTCCTGCGATTTCGGAATGGCGTGTGCATCAAATTTTGCCAAAGACTCGCCAAAACGGCTAAGGAAACCTATGAAATGCTAAAGCAAGCATTTGGGGAAATACTTCGAAATGGGTCGTGCACAAACTTTTGTGAGGCATTCAGCGCACACCGCCTTCAAAGTTCGGCAGTTTTTGGCCTCAAACACCATGGCCGTCATCCTGCACCCTCCTTATTCGCCGGATTTAGCTCCGTGTGACTTCTTCCTCTTCCCAAAGATGAAATTTCAGCTAAAGGGAATTAGATTTGAGACGATAGAAGAGATTCAGGCAGAATGGCAGATGGTGCTTGACAGGCTGACAAAGAAAGATTTCCAGGGATGCTTCCAGGCTTGGCAGCGGCGCTGGGATCGTTGTGTTCACTCCCAGGGGAACTACTTCGAGGGGGATGGATGCATTTAATACCTGAGATAAGTGTACGGGTTTTTATACGCGCAGTCTGGAAACCTTTCGATCGCACCTCGTATCATAACAAGAGAGAGAAATAAAACCAAAATTAATGGATAATTCCTTGTAAGTCATAAAGCACTGAACATATGCAGGAATGGGAAGACAAAATATCTTTAAAATACTACAGATATAGAGTTACTAAAGAACAGATCAAATGGGACAATATTATATGGTGAGGATGAGATTAGAGTGAGAAGATGGGAGAAAAATTTCACCAGAAAACATTTTAGCAACAGTCAAACCAACTAAAATGGATATGACATAAAAACAATACTAACCTTGATTGAGATTACAAAATGGCCTCCATTCTTTAGAAAATATTGGGAGTTGAGGGCAACTATTCTAGCCTGATCAGGCTGAGCCACATCGGCAAACACCGTATCCACCATTCCAACAAGCATCCGATATTTGTGAGGGTGACGTGCATCCTCTATAATAGGGATAATGTTGGTCCTTTTTTTAGCCATGTTGAGCAGATCACGGCCTGATCTGTGTGAGAATTCCACAGCATAAACTAGTCCTTCCTGAATGACAGGGGGAGATAACAAGACATAAATTAACAACATGACAGTATGTTCACACTGTAACACAATCTACAACTTCAGTATAACCCTACTTAGTGCCCTTAAGAAAAAATAAATTTATAGGCAGTTTTCAACGGGGCTGTGAGTTGTTAAATAAAACCTCCAACTCCTCAATTTTTAAATCTCTCACTCCTTCATAGAAGCTCAATATGTATTAATAGTAAACCTACTAAAATGGTAGTTGGTACCATAAGACATTTCATCACCACCACATGAATCATCAGGCTACATGGCTCACATGGTAGTAAAAGTGTTAAAATAGTATTTTCTTAAGATTTTATATCGAGGTTGGAGTCGGTACATTTTTACCGACTCTGACTCCACCTAAAACTGCTTCCGACTCCACAGCTCTGGTTTTTAATGCAAATATCTTCATGCTTTACTGCATACTAAATGGAAGAATCTTGTAACACATGTTACAAATCTAAAGTATCATGCTTCCACTTCAAAAGTCTGCTAATCAACTGTCAATGCAGCTCTCATCCTATATAGAAAGTATTTATCAACCCTTTGTGGTCCCTTTTAAATACCACTACTGCTCTCTGCTGGTCTATTTAAATACCACTAAGCTGTATAAATTCAACTACTATTATGAACTTGTTTGATTTTCTTTTATAACTTGCATAAAATGGAAGAAACATTGCTAAATATGGTGAAATATGTTCTGAGAGATCACAGTTCATCTTGTTTGAATACTGACCGTGTGAAATATTTTTCACTGACTGTACCACTATCGCTAGTAAGATGTGTAATAAGTGGTGCCTTTCTGCTTCCTGTCGTTCGGTAGAGAATAAAGCAAGTCCAAGGAGGTAGATATGACTTTGGCGACGTCTAAACATCTCTTATTGCATGCAGATATACGATGTATAAGCATTGGATTTCTTAGTATCAGAGCTATGCTTCCTTTCGCGCTGATTGTGTTCAAAAGATCAAGACTAAGTTTGACACCATAAAAGTGAAACAGATCGCGAACTGTAAACGATGAAGTCACTACACATACAGAATGCTTGATAAGAAGATGAATGAATATGCATATGTC